GTGCTTAGGGATATGACTTAGTGCTGGACTTGGTAGAGTAGGTTAATGGTTGGACTCGATGATCTTGAAAGTATTTTCCAACCTAAGTGACGCTGTGGATCACCTACAAATCCCTTCTTGTTTTTCATCACAAGTGTGCCTGTTATGGATACACCAAAACCCCAAGACTACTCATCTTCCCCAGTTTAAATTAAACAAGAAACAGTAGTGACCTTTGCAAACCCCGGTGGCAGGAAGTTTTTGCCAGGTCAGGTATAATAATTGCTAAGTATGCTTTAAAAGCCCAGTGTGAAAACTGTATTTAAACACATCTGGTGTGGATCAAATTCTGCATAATGGAGTTCACCAAGTCTGGTCAGGGCTCTACACAGCCTGGACACAAAGGCCCAGATTAAACATGAGAACAGCAACATTTCAGACTACTTCCATTCCATTTCCTGCCTAAAGTGAACAGTCAACCTGGAGAGGTGATTTAATACATGGCAATTCTACATGGCCTTCCACCTAATTGATGCCATGCTCACCAAGCAACTACTTCAGTCCAGTGACCCAGAGAGTTGTTTCTCTCACTCCTCTCTCTGGCAGCTGTTGTGATAGAGTTCCTTCCCCTACCCACCCTCTTAAATACACTACCACAAAGGAGCTACCACTGTCACTGATGGCCTTGGCCAGCAGCAGGTCCATCTTGGAGCCAAATTGCACAGGCTCTACCAAGACACAGAGGAAGCTTCTACCAGTTTCTCCCAGAAGTCCCCTTGGTATCAAAGTCTTGCTATGCTAACCCAATACAACCTTCTTCCAAGTAATCAGATTCAAGCAAGTGGCTGTTTTGAATGTTTTTTGTGCAGCTGGGTTAAAGTCACTACTCAACACTCCAGCTACCACTGAGAAGTTAAAGAAGACGAGAGTCAGAATCTATTATTAGTGCAGTCATTTATCTTCGGCATTTAACAACCCATTACATTTAAGAAACAATTTTCATAAATGACTTTTCACTACCAATAGTATCTTGAACAAAATTTAATGCATACAAAACCTCAAATATTTGTATTTCAACAGAGAAAGCTGCCACAGAATGGCATCTTGTTTCACAAGGACAACTTCAAGAGTAGAGGCAAGTGCGTTTCAGCCATGGTAGCGTAAACAGCATGCAGCACATGACATTAAACAGATGCAATGTCCATGTTTAAAACATTAAATAAAAATTAAGATACATTAAACAATCACTTGAAACATAGGCCATGCTATAAAATGCCCTTTGCAAGTCACCTTAATAAAAAAACCCCAATGAATCTTCATTTTTTTGAGTATTTACTGGTAAAACTAGTATGGCAGTTTCCCCAGTCCATTAAAGACCTATAGTTTGATATTTTTTACAATAAAATGCATATAAAGTATTAGATAAAAGTTCATAATCATGTTATAAATCTTCCAATGTTCATGAAGCCCCCTTTTGGCTAAAGCTCAAAATAGTTTAGATTATTCCTGAAGATGCAGTACATCATGAAGATTTAATTTCCCATAATTACTTTTGAAACACATTCTTCTCTTGATGATTTCTGAATTGCATATCAAAATTTCATATTCATCTGAACAAGCCTGTTTTACCTAGTGGCACAATTACTATATTCTGAGAGTTCCTTTTACTCAGGTTTTTCAGGCTTCAGGAAACAGTTCCCTTTAAAATATGAATTAATCTTTGTTTTGTGCAATTTTTTCTACAAGAGATAGAGCAGAAGTGCACTAGAGAAACTTCTTTTCTAAAAAGGCATTTTGAAGTTTTTCTTACCAGGTACATGTGGCCAAAATCCTTGGACACTGAGGAACAAGTGACTAGAAGTTATTTCCCTTACTAGAGAGAGGACACAGTTCTGTAAAAATGGACTACAAAACCACAGTGCTAATAATGCCCAGTTTTTTAGATCTTTATGATAGACATAGTAACGTACATTAAAAATTTCTGTGACACTAAGCTTTCACGGGTAATTATTTTTTTTGTCTCTTCATAAAAAATAGATTGTAATATAAAATATTAAAACCAAGCTATATAACTTGTACCACATGGAGTTTTTATATATAGGACATTTTAAAAAGACTATAATATGGTAATATATTAAAAGATCATTTTCAAGTAAATAATGATTCAATTTCATACACAAGAACATGTATTCCAGCAGTATCTACTCCCAGTAATCTGAAATAGGCAAAATAAAGCCTGTGTAAACTTACAGAAGTTTACTTCCACATTTTTCAATTTCAAGCCTATTAATTTTCAGTATGCAAGATTCCTGTTGCCTTAAATGGGAACTAAGTATTAGGGCCTACTCCAAAGGAATTTGAAGAAAACTGCACTATTTCTCACAGACTCTGTGAATCTAATCACATTTTCAAGACTGACTAATCATTTGAGTTCTGGCTTTCAGACCCAAGAATGCATTTTGAAAAGCTTATGCCCTCATCTAACAGAAGAGGAAGTTGCTCTGTGGTGCTCTGCAAGGTCACTTGCAAGTGCTTTTGGGAATAAAGGTGCAAAAGACCTAACTTAAGAATAGAATCATAACGTTGGAAGGGACCGTTAGAGATCACCAAGTCCAACCCCCCTGCTGCAGCAGGAACACCTAGGGCAGGTCACACAGGAATGCATCCAGATGGGTTTTGAAGGTCTCCAAAGGAGACTCCACAACCTCTCTGGGCAGCCTGTTCCAGTGCTCTGTCACTCTCACAGTAAAAAAGCTTTTCCTCATGTTGGGGTGGAACTTCTGCACTCTAGTTTGCACAAGTTGCCCCTTCTCCCATCTCAGGGCATCAATGAAAAGAGATTGGCCTCTCCTTCCTGACACTCACCCTTCAGATATTTATACACATTAGTAAGATCCCCTCTCAGTCTTCTCTTCTCTAGATTAAACAGCCCCAAGTCTCTCAGCCTTTCCTCATAAGACAGGTGTTCCAGTCCCTTAATCATCCTCACAGCCCACCATTGGACTCTCAGGTAAATCCCCATCCCTCTTGAACTGGGAAGCCCAGAACTAGACAATACTCCAGGTGGGGTCTCACTAGGGTAGAGGGGGATGAGAGCCTCCCTTGACCTGCTGGACACACTCTTCTTAATGCACCCCAGGATACCATTGGCTACAAGGGCACATTGCTACCCATGGATAACTTGTAGAACTCGAAGGTCCTTCTCCACAGAGCGGCCTTCTAGCAGATAGCTCCTAATCTGTACTGGTGCATGTTGTTACTCTTCCCCAGGTGCAGGACTCTACACTTGCTCATGTTGAACCTCATTAGGTTCCTCTTTGCCTAGCTTTCCAGTCTGTCCAAATCCTGATGAATGGCCACACAGCCTTCCAGTCAATCAGCCAATCCTCCCAGTTTCATATCATCAGCAAACTTGCTGAGGATACACTCTGTCCCCTCCTACAGGTCGTTGATCAAGATGTTGAACAGGATGGGAGCCAGCACTGATCCCTGGGGAACTCCACTAGTTACAAGTCTTACTTAACACCCATTAAGATCAAAGATCAGTACATACATACAGAGATAAGATTTAAGATCTGTATGACCTCCACTGGATAAACAAAATGCTTATCAACATTATATACAGAACCTTACCTACTTTAATTGACGAATGCTGCGTCTAAAACTGCTGTACTCCACACAGCTTATAATACTGGCATTCCTTAATGTAACAGAGGCTAAATTCTGGTTCCAGTAATTGCAGGAGTACCAGAACTTTGCCTAGTATAAATCTGGTTTTGGTTACAAAAGCAGTTATGCTATCCTTTTTTTTTTTTTTTGCTTTAAAGTCTTTTAAGAAAAATAATTTATTAGAGGTCGTTCTAAAAAATACATTTTATCTACAATTGTTTTGTCATTTCATAATTGCATTGCTATATGTAAATATATTAAAGTTAAAACAATAGTCTTTTTCAATGGTGGCAAGTACTTTGCCAGCCCTTTCCCACAGCAAATCATAATAAATGCTTCCCTTGAAAACTAAGAATTCACTGGCTATGAAAAGTAACAAATCCATAAAATAAATTTAGTCTATTAAAATGGCCTTGTAATTAATTTATTTCCAGTGAATTTCAGAAGCTATCTGCATACATTTTAGAAGATGTCTCTCATTTACAGTCACTGGAGTGGGCTGTTCTTAGTGGGGAAGTCAGATCGCTTGTCTTGGAAGATACATAAAAGGGGTAGCAGAAATAGGCCGTATTTTTTAGTTGGTAGGTGTTTCTGTTTCTGCTTTCCCCATTGCTGCCTCAGGAAAAAGTAGTTTTCTAAGTATGTTTGCATAGAATGGTCCATACACTCGTTTATTAAAGTTTACAATGCTCGCATACTGAGATCCTACTAACTCCATCTCCGTCTGAATAACAGAAAGGCCTCCTGGCATAGTGGGCATACACTTCTGAGAATTTGGAAGAGCAAGCAAGCTTCTCATGAAGAACTGGATTCTTTTGTCTGGAATGGAACATAGAGTGTGTCAGAACAAACGTCAAACCAAGATGAAACCATACTTGCTTAGTAAGCACCCTACACAGCGTTATGCCTTTCCTTTTTTTTTTTTTTGCTTTAAAGTCTTTTAAGAAACATAATTTATTAGAGGTCGCTCTAAAAAATACATTTTATCTACAATTGTTTTGTCATTTCATAATTGCATTGCTATATGTAAATATATTAAAGTTAAAACAATAGTCTTTTTCAATGGTGGCAAGTACTTTGCCAGCCCTTTCCCACAGCAAATCATAATAAATGCTTCCCTTGAAAACTAAGAATTCACTGGCTATGAAAAGTAACAAATCCATAAAATAAATTTAGTCTATTAAAATGGCCTTGTAATTAATTTATTTCCAGTGAATTTCAGAAGCTATCTGCATACATTTTAGAAGATGTCTCTCATTTACAGTCACTGGAGTGGGCTGTTCTTAGTGGGGAAGTCAGATCGCTTGTCTTGGAAGATACATAAAAGGGGTAGCAGAAATAGGCCGTATTTTTTAGTTGGTAGGTGTTTCTGTTTCTGCTTTCCCCATTGCTGCCTCAGGAAAAAGTAGTTTTCTAAGTATGTTTGCATAGAATGGTCCATACACTCGTTTATTAAAGTTTACAATGCTCGCATACTGAGATCCTACTAACTCCATCTCCGTCTGAATAACAGAAAGGCCTCCTGGCATAGTGGGCATACACTTCTGAGAATTTGGAAGAGCAAGCAAGCTTCTCATGAAGAACTGGATTCTTTTGTCTGGAATGGAACATAGAGTGTGTCAGAACAAACGTCAAACCAAGATGAAACCATACTTGCTTAGTAAGCACCCTACACATCAGCACAGCAATAAACCCAAGTCCAACAATGTGTATGAACAACTCTTTCCGAGACCATGTTGCAGTGGGAAACAATGCAGAAAGCTTCTTAAAGTTGGCTCCTGCAAGGTGGACACAGCATAAACCTGCTGCTACAAGTTACATTACTTAATATGAAGTAGTCTAAAAGGAAAAAAACCCACCCACAGACTAGGCTTAAACCCAGAACTGACAGAAGGGAGACTGAATAGCACACATTTTTTCTAAATTCTCCAAAATACTAGCATGTCTAGGCTTGTTTGTACAGACACTTTCAAAATTATTTCTAGCTGCTGCTAACCATGTTCTGCAGCATACCAAGAACACCATCTATAGGTAAACAACATTTCCCTACTCTTAGTTGACCAAATACTGCAGTAAAAAAAGTGCTTCTAAAAATAATTAAGACAGCTGATTAAGCTTGCTGGTTTATATACAAACACATACAATAAGATAATTATGTATCATCTTACTAACCAATCAAAGAACTGACGGGATTATTCTCCTCAACAATATGAGCAATTTGGCCTATTAAATTATTCTGCATTTCTGCATCAAGAGTGGGAAGACATCTTTCAGTTAGGGACCTGTTCACTTTGCTGCAAATCTGGACACCAATAGCATTCAGAGCTTCCTTCAAATCAAAAGTTCTGGAAGAAAAACAGAAAGCATTAACTTTTGCAGTTTCTGTAGCACAGGTTGTAAGGTGACCTCTCCTTTCCCTTTTATTTTCCATCTGCTCTCTGCAATGAGAGAATTCAGAAGAAAGTCTTATTTTGCAGATTTATGTAGAGCTACATAAAGAGGACAAATCTCCACATGGGACAAAAAATAAGGACCTAATTATGATTCAAATAAGAAAAATAATTTCAAATGTGTAACAGTGACACCAGTTCATTTTGCCCTTATGCTCAGGTGTTTTCCTGGGCCACATGCATAACATTTCATGAGAAAAAGCAGACTGGAAAGGTATTTTATGAGATACTCTTTGAGATCACATCAGACTTGCAGCAGCATAGGTAGCCAAATAGCTAAAACAACCAGAAACAAGTGTGAAGCAAGCAGCAAGACAATTTGGAGAATATACTGCCACACTCTCTCCAGTATTAGGAGTGTATAAATGAACTTTAGAACAACACTCTAAATTCTGCAGACTAACATAAAGATTAAGATTTCATTAAAATACAACTTTGAAAATATGTTGACATGTTGAAAATATGTTGAGTAAACTTATATCATAAAGGAAGTATATATTATTAAAATTTAGTATCTTCCTATTAACAAGCACTGGCTATGACATTTGAATTGTTTCCAAAGGTTTTTAGATCCACCTGGTATTTCACATAAAAAAAAAAATTAAGAGTAACAAAAGCAAGGCCTTACTTCTTGTTCATGCCTTCAAGAAGAGGAAGAGAGATCCTTTTCAGCTGATCTGCAAAATCAGGCACATCTACAATTGCTGCACCCACCATATTGTTTGTTATGAGACAGACACAAGCTATGATTTTTAATTGATTGAGCTTTTCTCTCAACTCCTGAAGACGAACTTCATCTGCTATTAGAGTCTAGAATTGAAACAATAATATTAATTGAGGAATACAGAAGGAAAGAGGCAAGGAAAAGGACAGATATAGGAGGTGGTAACAAAGCATTAATATTTTTAATCATGAGTAGGCAAAGTCAGAAAAGAGGCAGATGCTGAAATAACCTGCATATGTAGTATTGCGCAAAGGGGCCTTATGTATGAGCACCAGAATTAAGCCTGTGGTGGGAAGAAAGATACTACCTTCAGGGCAGAGAAAATTGAGGACACTGCATCTTATTCCTTATCACCACTGACAGAAATCTGTGACCAACAATTCAGCCCACAATGTGGAATACTCAGGGGATACAGAGGATAGTGATCAAGGTTACCAAAAGAATAGTCTCCTGGATTCAGCTGTCCTTTGAAAAACGCCATAAGCTGTATCTGACGGACAGCGATGAACAACCGTACATGACAGCCCCCAGTTCAATCACCAGAGCAGGTTCTGCTAGTAATACATAACCTGCCACATACAAAAAGCCAGTTGATCCTACTAAGAGTGTAAGTAATTCCCACAGCAAGATGTAGCTATAGTGACTTATTTTAAGTTAGAAAGAGTTCATTCTAACCAAATCCCTCCACTGAGAGGTGTAGGGAGACTTAACATTCTACTGTTTGATAGTAATTTTATAGTGTGACAAATTACAACCACCAGAGGATACCTAAGTGTAGCTCTTATTCAAAACTGTTTGAAGAGAGGCAAGAATAAGGCAGCTTTCCTTCTGTCCACTGACAGAGCACTAGGTATTTAGCAAATTCTCTGCCAGGCTACCCTAAGTATAGGTAAGGAGCTCACTGCAGCTGCTAATTTTAGCCCTGACCCATGGCCAGTTTCAAACTGGCTTTACAGAAAGTTACAGAGGCAAATAATCAAGAGTTGGAGGGGAAACCCCAATTCTTGAATTAGTAATTTAAATGCACTGACAAATGGTGACTATTTTAGAGGGCTTCCAGTTTTTACCGATTCTGTTGTAACACGGGAATGATCCCACCAATTCCTGTTGTTAAAAAAACAGGATGCTATAGTCAGTTCTCTCAAAGATACAGAAAACCCAAGTGCTCTCAGCTTAAGGCTCAGCCTTTGATCATGGCCAAGACCGCTCTTAGGGTGGAGCTGGTGAGCTATGACTGGACAGAGGAAAAACAACCTTTAAGCTGGTATTTTCTCCATGTTGACTTGCCCATCTCATAATTCAGAAGCTAGACTAGCATATACCCTCCAAATTTACTACTCAGAAATATACAAAGTGCAAGAGAATACCTCCCCTTTTGTCATCAATAGCAGGATTATAATACACCACCAATTTTTTCATATAGCTAGAAATCTGACGACATTGAAACACTTCTTACCTCTGGAAACGTTTTGCAATAATCCCATTGTAACAGTTTCAAGTAGCCATTATTAAGCACCAGTGTAGGACTAATAATTGGTTTAGAACTACTATCAGCACCAGGAGATGAAGATTCATCAGAAACAGATGACAGTTCATCTTCTATTGATTCCTTTATCCATTCTGTTGTGAGATCCAGGGCACCTAAGCATTGCAAATCAACACAGACTTACTGCTTATCAAGACAAGTAGTAGCTCTAGGAAAAGAATTGTATACATAAACAAGAGTAATGACCTTCTGAAGACCAAAATATAGCAGATGGCTAGGTTTTCATACAAATTATCTTCCTCATTTTTTTCCACTGATTATCTTCTGTGGGTCTCCTTAATATTGTAGCTAGCTTCTATAAACCCAACAACAAATTATTAGACTCCATCTAAGACTTTGGGGTAAAAAGAAAGCATTGAAGTTCAGGTTCCCAAAGTATTTTCTTCCCTTTTTGAGGGATGGCATGGGACTTAAAAGTAGATATTCATGGAGTTATTTCTCAGTCTGAGTGTATCACATCACAGAATGGTTAGAGTTGGAAGGGACCTTAATGATATAGTTCCAAACCCCCTGCATGGGCAGGGACACCTCCTCCTAGACCAGGCTGCTCAGAGCCCCATCTGCCCTTGAACGCTTCCAGGGAGGGGGCAGCCACAGCTTCCCTGGGCAACCTGTGCCAGTGTGTTACCACCCTCACACTAAAGAATTTCTTCTAATATCTAACCTACATCTCCCCTCTTACAGTTTTAATCCATTACCCCTTGTCCTCTCACTACAAGCCCTGGTAAAAAGCCCCTCCTCAGCTTTCCTCTGGGCCCTCTTCAGGTACTAGAAGGCCACTATGCAGTCTCCCCAGAGCTTTCTCTTCTCCAGGCTGAACAACTCCAAATCTCTCAGCCTGTCTTTGTAGGATCATCTTCATGGCCCTCCTCTGGACTTTCCACAGGAGTGCCACTTCCATATGCTGGGGGCTCACCACAGGCCGTATCAGTGGCTCACTGTTCCTATTTTAAAAGCCCCTGGCTCCAGATTTTCCAGATTGGAAAAATACATTTCTTGAACACAGTTTAGCCATACTACACAAAACCTGTAATAGTTGATTGAGTTGACTTTGCAATACCTAAGAAGTTTTAGTCGGATTCTGATTTTTATTTATTAAAAAAATGATCCTGTTCCTTCAAGCTTTCAGAAACTAACTGGTTTTACATGTGTACTTCAGACTAACAACAGACTTGCTGCCTACAAGAGATAAAATCTCTATTTCAGTATGTAGGGCTTCAGCCTCCAGACAGAAAGACCTATTGTTTGTTTGTTTTTCAGATACCAACCAATTTAGCAAATAAAAATTTGTCTGAAAGCACCCCAGATTACAGACAAACAACTTTACAGCAAGTTAGGCAACTGCCCATTAGCAGCTTGCTTGCGAAAGAATTTTTGCATTATTTAGATTCAGACAAGAAATTTAAATTTAAATATAGCATGATACCTACTTGGTTTCTCTTCAAGAATTTCCTGGAATTTTGCTCTTTCATAGTCCACCAAATTATGCTGAAGGTACGGCCTAAGGCTCTGAATTGTGTAATTAGCCATATCCATTTTCATCAGGTCCAAAACACGGAATATTTGCCTGAAAGGAGAAGTTTAAAGTTTGACAATTTGAATAGTCTTGATTTTATCTAGCACATGTGAGGTACACTTAAATTAGTGCTAATTTCAATTCTGGGAAAAGTAAACTCCTTCGTTGGTATTTCAGTGTAACAGATATGTAACAGAATACTTGAAGGAGTATTGTGCATAAGACTTAGTCTAAGTTATAAAGAACAGGACAAGTATGTATCATCACTAAATCTTAAAACCCTGTAACAGAAAGAAGCATTTTCAATAACTGTATGAATTTGTATATTTTAGTGATGTACTTTTGCACATTTTTTGTCATTCTAGATGACCACGAGAAACAATCCTTCTGATCCAGTTGCTTTGGTCCTTGTATATGATCCAAGCTGCAACAGAACAGTAGAGCAACAACTACAACTTACTCTTAATATTCCAGTGTACTTAAGAAACAGTAAACTGGTTTCTGCCCTCTTCTGCAAGTGCTTTACTTAGGTAATAGAATATTTACTAAAGAAATTTTCAATCCAAAGTTTGGCCTCCTAGAGGAAGCATGCAATAAACAGCTTAAGGAACACCACAAATGTGCTACTTAAATTTTGTAAGCATGAATAAGACTGAAAAAGCAGTCTCCAAAACACAGATTATTGCAGGAGTGCTTTTCTTTGTTGTTGTTCAGTGGCTTAGATATTCAGAGCATTCTACCAATTTCATTACAAAGTAAGATACACATAATATTCCCATCAGTGTGTCAGCTCCTCCCCTTTAATGCTTCTGTATAAAAGTAAGTTAGTGTGTAAATTGACACAATTTAAGACTTTTTACAGCTTCATCCCCCTCTTCCACTGCCCAGTACTCTTTCAGAGGTTTTTCCTCTAAAACAAACAAACCACCCAAATACCAACCTCAGTAGTTCTACGATATTGTCAGTTGCTTTTAACTGTTTTATATCGTTGTCTCTTATTGGAGCACATAACTTCCCCATAGTGTTGATGATATAGTTAGCTAGCCCGTGAATATCAACAGCATTATGTTCAGCCTGCTGTCTTATAAGATCTGCATCTAGAACTTCACAGATTTGATTTTGAATCCTGTTTGCTCCAGGAGTCAGGAAAGAAAGAAGAATCTAAAGTAGCATGGGGAAAAAAAAAAGAAAAGAAAACCTTATCAATAAAAATCAAATCACTTAGTAACAATCCTGAAGTAAGACTTCAGTACTAATGTCAAGCATATTTAGCTGACCAACAGGACATGTTAAAACTAAGCATTATCTAGGGTAGCAGGAAAAAAAGGACTATTAAAATGATCACAATACAATTCTGCAAAAATGCTCAAAGCCAGTAAACCAGAACACATGTCAACAATGAGACTTTCAAAACCTGAGAGGCTCTCCAGTAAACCAAATATTTACTAACTTAAAATTTTGAAAGACTTAGTATTGTGCCAGGATTAAGGTTTGCATGCTCCCTTGTGCAATGATCATAAACAATGCAGTCTATTTGGGCAGGTGCAGCCACAATTATACTGCAGTTCACACCTTAAGCTCACAGTTTGTTGCTGGAAAGAGGCAAGTAGAGGTAGGAAGCCTTGAAAAAAGAGCTGACTTGCAACTAACCATCATGCAATGAAAGCTGAGTGGACACGCCACTGTGCATTTGTGGTGACACTCATGGTTAATCTAAATATACTATTAAGAGACACCTACTTGCAGTTCTGAATAATCAGGGTTTCATCTTAAAAGAAAGAACTTGAGGGTGTTGGCTTGACTGTGTTAGCAGACCCTTCAGTGAAGTAAGAGACTCTCAAATCTAAGCTGACAAAACAACACTGTGAGGAGGAACATTACCTCCTTGATTTCCTCAAAGAGCTTGATAGCATGTTCATATTCTGGAGGATCTTCATTCAGTTCAGATTCCAAAAGATCCCAAAACGCCTTGTGTGCAATTTGTTTCACTCTGCCTGCAAAGCTGTGGGATAAGTCAATTAGATACAAGACAGACAGTTGCAACTACCTTTCACCCTCAAAGTCTTTTAGATTAGCCCAAATCATTTGCTGGGAAACACAGACCTCACCAGCTATTAGGCCCTGCTACTGTATTTTTCTTGGGCTGTGGCTCATAAGTTCTTAAGAGTGTGCTCTAGACTGACAATTCTTTCTTAAAACACCAGTGTTTTATAAAGTGGTGCTGGCAGTTCAAACGTAGCTGAAGAGCTTGTACCTTTCCTTTCTCCTTATTGAATTTGTATTCATCATCCTACTCTGCTATGCTATGTACTAAGCTTTCTCAAAAACTGTTCTGTCATACAGCCAGCTCTCAGTTAAGGGACTCGTGCAATTAAAAACCTGTTTATTTTTTAATGTGAAGAGCAGGGTAATTTTTAAGTACAGACATGTCTGTGAGCAAGAACATTTCAGCTACCTACACTAGGGAAGTTATTTATCACTTCTTCTGGATCTCCGGGTTGGTTTTGCATCTCTTCTGGGGCTAATATTAGAACTATGTTCATTATGAGCTCTCATTTGTTATAATTATGGCACCAATGACCTACCACATATGACTGAATAGAAAGCCACCACTTCATCTTTTCCACAGAGCTTGGAACTACACAAAGCAGACTGATACTCATGTTTGCTATGGGCATACACATTGCATTAACCTTTTCTTTTCCACATGACATTTAAGACAGAGCAAAATGCTCCAAAACAGCTGGACTGCAACACTTCTTCCAAGATAGCCTTGCCAGAGACACCTGGAAGTGCAGGATAAAAATCTGTTGCCTTCCAAGGCATTTTGGTTTGCCTGGTTGGTTTTGTTTAATTTGGTGCTCCATTCATTTCTCACCTCTTCCCAACCCCAGTGCTGCTTTTTTGCAAAATTCAGGCTCTTACCTGTTCTCTGGTAAGTCTTCATTTTTTATGCAAAAATTTGCATTTACAGCAATTTCATGAACTAGAGTCAAGTTCGACAAGTTTCTTGCAGCTGCCATCAGTTCATCAAATGTAATCATCTTGGGAGGGCTTGCTGCTGGAACAAACCAGATCGATTCAAGCCAAATATCTATAGTTGATAAGTGCAATTTAAAATGTTTACATTTATAAATTTGATTGCTCACTAATTGGACTCTAGTACCCTAGAAGAAACAACCTAGAATTACCAGGTCTTTATATCTTCTTAAAACACTAACTCAGGAAACTCCCAGCTTATCAGGGGGGTGTGTGCCTCATAACATTTTTAAGAGCAATTTCATGTTTCTGCATCTTAATTAAGGTATTTTTTTTTCCTTTAAAACAGGATCTTGCCTTCCACAGGTTTCCCATCAACTGTTCTGTAAAAGTCACCAGACCAAAAGCATGGACAATAACAGATATCAGATGTCCATTGTAATTCTGATCACACAATGGCTATATTGTGACTTTATTGCATGTAGAGAAGGTTCTGAAGTTACACACTTGAGACCCCCACACCCACTTATGCTCCAAAGCAGATGCACTGGAAGTTACACTCCCTTTTTACAAAAACAGTGACAAACTCTGAATTGGAAGTCAAGAGTAAATTCTCAAAGTTTCTAAACCTCCAAACTCTGTTTCATTCAGTATTTGGAATTAACCTTTGAAGATCAATAATAAAGAAAGCAAAAGAGCCAGCAGCCAATTGCAGCTCCACTAACAATCTTGTTTTAATGCAAAACTTCACTTACATAGATGCTGAAAAGTATGCATGGTCCAAGAATGCATACAGACATGAACATGAAGCACACCTTAACCAAGGTTTTATTTATCATCATTCAAAATACATTCCTTGTGCAAATGTGAGTTTTCTGTTTGATCCTAGTACGAATGGACGAAAATAAACGTGAATTCAATATTAGTTTCATGTAACTTCGTGTAATATTCTAGATCTGTGAATTACAGATTTATTTTCTATATACCTGGAGCAAACAGAGGAAACCCACTCTTTGCACAAAGCTGTATGTGTTTGAGTAGGAGAGAGCTACCAAGGTCAGGACTGGGATGTCCACGGTGGCACACTTTTCTTACACTTTCTGAAGGGAAGAAGTGCAGAGGGAGACCCCCACGGATACAGCTGCTGGTGGTGTTCCAAACACAAGGAGATGCGCTGCTTCACAGCAGAGAGAAAGCCATGCCTCTCTCTTAATTCTCTTAAACAGAGATTCAGAATCCCAGGTTCTACCCACAACAGCAAAGAGAAACGAGATAAATTAGCCTTATCTGTCTATGCACAGCACAGGTATGGTTGAAATAGGCTTACATGCTGGGGAACTGGGTTTGCTTGAAGAATCACTGTTAAAGCTCTGCCTTGAATATTCAGAGTCACTGGAAGAAGCTGTGCTTTCAGACAGGCGCGAGGAATCTGAATCGCTGTTCGGGTCATCATTGAGAGGCATTCTGATTCACTGCAGCTGCTACAGTAAGCAAGACCTAGAAAGACAAATACTCTTCCGTAAAACCAGCACTCACTTTGTTACTCAGACGTTGGATGCTGATTATTATATTGTGGAATGAAGAATAAGTAGTTGCCTTTCTAAAGAAGGTGTTAGAGAACGGGTCTGGCTTGACACAGAGAATCAGTTATTAACAAACCACACCTGTTCAACAGGAAAGTTTTGTACCTTCTGCTGTTTCATACCTTCACAATTATGTTAAAGACAGTCTTTAAGTTAGTTATGTTTAAAACAGTAGCCCCTGAAACTGCTTTTTGTCAGAATTTTGAAAGCTCTCAACATCCAAAAAGGCACCTGGTGATGTTACCATCCCCCACCCGATTTCACCAACAAGTGATGTTTAGCAATTACTTCCCTTCCACAAACACACTGCACTGTGTATAACAGCTCTGAAGCAATATAAACTGCAAGAGGAGAACAGGCCAGTAATTCAGAATACTACACTTCCTGACAGAGTGTAGCTGCTTTAGATGGGTCTTTGCTCAGAATCAGATCAACAATGACATAGATCCAAAAAATACTCCTCGTAAAGGTGAAGGTGGATGGGTTCTCCATTTTAAGTCAGATGGCAACTCTGATCCTCTAACATTACATTCAGCATACACGACAGCCAACACAGACAAGTGTCATGCTTCACAGTGCTTCTGTCTACATAAAGAAACTGCCTCCCAGGCAGATAATCTGCAACTGCAGAAAATTCGGACAGCTGCATAGCACGATAGAGATGATTAATAGCTGTATGACAGGAAGTGAAAAATATGTTCATAATCATATTAAAATGAGAAATTGGAAGTCAGCCATAATTACTACCAAAGGAATTTGGCCCAGATACCAAAAGCAGCTGTCCAACTTTGATTATGGCCATGAAGCACTCTGTAGTAGACTTTATGAAGAGACATAGCCAACAATGCTTTCAGTCAGCGAGTTTAAGTAACATTACTTAACTTACTAAATTGCATCAACTTCAGCAGGCAAGGAATAACACTTTGCAACTGTTGAACTTGGAAAAATCCACTTTTGTCAGCATAAATATGATCTTTGTATGTACTTATTTGAATCAATATATTGTGGGGTCAAGACATAGACAAAAGGGAGTAAGAATGAAGATTTCTTAATGCTGGCATCTAATTACAGCTTAGAGAATTTTATTTTTTGGGTACCAGCTCATCCTGAACAGGCCTTTGTAACTTGATGAGGTATTACACTGATGAATACTCCTCTCTTAATTGGGATAATTAACATTTGTTAATCGTATGTTTACTTCCCCTCTCCCAAGAGGAAAGAGAATACATTGAAGTGCCTTTTGTATGCGATGCTTTATGCTGTTTTTTTGTGAAAAGAATTAATCACATCAGCAAGACACAGCTGACAGTTTATTACCTTACTGGAGAAGACCTGATCAGGATCAGGTCACAGGTTCAAGACTTCCAGCATTAGCTGTAACCCTTAACATTGTAACTCTTACTAGACCAGCAATTTTATAATTTCTAACAAGCAACTGAAAACAAGCAGATATTTAAAACAGTATTGACTAAGTAAGACTGAGAGCTGCAGTAAAAGCTAGAAAACCAAAAGGCTAAGATATTTTTTACTTGGTCATTGTATTCGTTTAAGTTACAATTCAAAATTAGTCACTAGTTAATGTTACACAAGAGACTAGAACTATTTATTTGATTAAGTTTTGTGTTACATATCTCAAGGCTATTGCTGACTAGAAACTACTTGTGACAAGTAACCTAACTGCAGAATGCACTCCAGGTTCTTGACATGGAACAGCTCACTTAAATATAGTAACCCTGCAGAGCCTGCAAAGCTTATATTAGCCTCCCACTGTTGTTTCTGGATCAGCATCAGAACATTGTATTTCCAAGCTTTAATAGTGTATAATAAGTCTTTATATATATATAAATAACTAACCTCCAAAAGGTTAATGTTGGGTTACTGTTGCACGTGGTCCATCAAAAGATCTGGTTAACGTTGTTAGCAGTGTACTGGCCCAGTCATTAAATTATTTGCTTAGTATAAGCGGTTCAAGACGGTGTTACTGCTGAAATCTAGGTGTTAAGAACACAGAAGAAATTAAATTACCATTAAAACGTCAAAATTCTCACACAATTTACACATCATAATTTCAGTAACTTCCCCTTAGCTGTCAGTATAAGAATTACAATAAATACATTAAAAAATATTCAAATTTACGAGGTGCTCCTTATGAAGTATTAAACCAGCCATGGGGGCAAGTCAGCATTGCTATTTTCCACCCCAATCTTAATTCCCAAGACAACTGAAACATTAAGGTAGAAATTAAAATTGTACACAAGTCTTTATATCCTAATCCCAGTACAGAATCTTTCAGCAACAAATACTAGCATTTCAGAGAGGCCCATGACATATTTTAAGGTACTGAGACCATACCTGTTTCTACAGTACACGCACACATACAGATAGCAGAGCTGTCAAGAGTGCTTCAGAAGGCTTAATTTAAATATGAGGTTTCAACAGTGCAACAGGACATGACACACTGAAACAGGCTGCCACCTTTGCCACAGTAAATGTATTTCCTGGTAGGATGCTTTAATTAGAATGGTAAGGAAGAATGGGTGTATTCTGCAGATTCAGAACATTATTGCTAAGCTCTAAGTTTAAAAGATAAACAAGGCAGTGAGCACATAAAAGTAAACATACACAAATATACAAGCAGAATCAGGACATGCCATCAATAGTTTTTAACTATGGTGTCCAACTGCTAAAAAGCTAAGAGAAAAGTACATTCATTGAGCACATCAAAGGGAAGCACAAACCAAAAAAAGGCCTTTCTGATTAGTTACAACAATGGACAACCGAGTTACTTAGCCTTCTCTTTATCGCACGCACTGGAAGAGCCACCCTTCCTTATGCATTTGCAGACAGCACAGAGCTTCTCATAAAATTACATGTGAACTTGACCCCTTATAATTTAAGGTTAGATTAATATAAATCCTAGGTAAAAATGTTTCAGAAAGCCTTTTAGACTTCCAGGTTCTCTTCACAACTTGCTGTCTTGAATAGACAGCAACATCATCTTATTTGAGTTGTTTGTTAGGCATTAAATATTAGGTTGTTGTTCTAATACACAGCTTCAAAGTCCTACCTATTCTACTAATGGCTCTGCCTGTGGTTACAACCTGCCTGCTTTGCCCTTCCTGCACTAAAAACAACTGATGTTTACTTTTATATTAGGCTGGATACCTTCAGAGAGGGGCTTCAATGCACTGTTTGCTTTCTTTTGATTGGTATTTTGCAGTTTAAGGATAAACTAAATGGGAGGCCAAGTTAAAAATATATTCTAGAGGTACGAAACCCAAGTTTCCAGTTAATTAAACAAAGAATAAACTAAATTATCATGGTTTACAGTGCTCTTTAGACAGCTTTTGATTATTCTTTTGAGTAAAGATGCAATGAATAAAAGAGTGAGATGCCTTTAGGCACCTACAGTGTTGCATGGTCACCACATCACTCAATTCAACCCTTCACTTAGAACTGATCAAGATTACAAGATCAGATTCCTTTTAAAGAACACAGACACCCTTTTTATTCCTGAAGGCTTCCTTTAGAAGTTACTTAATAAAGTGCCTGGAAGGGAAAAAAAAAAAAAGTTTCTAAGGTGCTTTTTTTCCTTCAGATACCATCTTCAAGAAAAGTTATTCCAAACCCTGCTTTGTTCAAATGAGACCCTCCATCCATGCTCGCTTTTAAAGTGCTCCGTCCAGTTTTACTACTGTGAATGTCTTAACTCTGTTCATCCTGCTGGGCTTGTGCCTGCGCTATCTTCAAGCTGGCACCGACTGAATCTCACTCGGGCTCTAGGTTTCCCTTTCACTGACTCTACCTCTGCCAGCACTCGCGGCACAGGAGCAGAAAAGAGCCTTTGTTGAGCTTCCTCGGGCCGCATATTTGACAGCTCATAGCCGACGCTTCCCTCCCGCAGCGTTCCAGTTCCGCAGCTCTTCCCTTCACACACGGGAAGCTCTGGGAGCGGGATGGGTGCGTGTCCCCGGGCCGGCCGGGGGAGCTGCTCCCCCTCCCCCCCC